AAAACCACTTTGTCAAATTCCCAACTTTGAAACGGGCATCTTATATATTTGACCCTGTGACTTTCGCAAAAAAACCTGGAAAACTGATACATGAAGGGGACTGTTAGTGAGACAATGCTCAGTAAAAATGTTGACGCTTAATTACACTAACACACATCAGAATTATGAAATGTACTCTGAAAATGAAGTTTATGTTGTGAAATAAAACACCATTAAAAGTATAAAACATTTCAAATTTTCTCTCATTTTTTGTTAGATTTTATGCGTATTAAACTATGCTTCATATCTAAATATTTGATGAAATAGAAAGCTCTGTTTTCCCTGAACAAGATGATATATAATAAGTGTCGCTACACTTAATATGAAAGGGGTAAGTTATGATTGAATGGACATAGCTCAAATTCCATGTTTTGTTTTAGTCAGAAGTTTTGCATACCCCTAAGCACCTCCTGAATCCCTGTTTGATGTGCTCAGGCGGCTCTGACTAGTGATGTCACAGCGTTGTGCCATGAGTTCCTTATCCAGCTCCTGCTGCATAGAATGCTGTACTGCCGATGGATTCCAAGAGGAACATTTAACCCTCTCAGCCTCCTTAGACTGCAGCTCAGTGAGTGAGTACTCTAAGCATTTTAACCATTTATAAACACAGATCACTTAAGAGAAGCAGCAAATATACCACTCTACATATTTAAGGACTGTAACGGATCGCCTAGCACCCCGACTGGGTACCTCAGTTGAAGGATGCTCCTAGCGCTTCCTGAGGACTCCAAGCACTGCAGCAGACACCAAAACCACCGAACCGTAGGAGCATATGAATGCTGTAGACAGTTGAATAGGAACCATACGAATAGGTTTACTCTCCTAGCAGTCAAACTGGAACAGCATACAATAAATCCTTCCCCAATAATGAGACGACACTTCACTTTGAGGGTTAAGCAGGAACTCCCTGTACTGTCACATACAGTCTCTTTTATTCCCAATCCACAAACATAGTACAGCCCACAGGGCATTACAAAACAACCAATCAATCCGTACAATACACCCAGACACTCCCACACAAAATCCTCCCCTCTGCATGTGATATGATTACTGAACACAATGGGTAATCTCATTATCACCGGCAGAGGAATACAGTTTTTACACAATAGTTATAACTTCTAAAATATACATGTCACAAACATAAAACATACATTTTCATAATCAATCCATTCAGGGGAACAACATATTAAAAAATGGCACGAATCAGACCAGGGGTTCAAAAGTTAAGGGAAAGTCCTTTGTGACTAAATGAAGCATGGCTTTCCGGCCCAAACCAGTTTCAGAGTCTTCTATCCTGGAGAGTAATTCAATTATCTCCCAGGACAGACAAGACTCCATGAAGCACATGGTTGCAAAAAGACACAAAACACTTTAAAATACATAAAGTCACCTTTTACACATAAGACACAGACATTTCACATATCCCCAGATAGCTGGGATCTGAGAGCACAAAACTACCGAATAGCGCTCAGATCCTATTCACACAGTTAAATTGCCATGGAGCCGAAGTCTTTAAATACACGAATGGGCTCCATGGCATAGCTATCTGGGTTAACACATTCACATAAAGTCTGGTCCATAGTCCAAAGGCAAGAGGCGGGCAAGCAGCCCCCTCCAAGGACACGTGGCGAGGCCGGTTTCGCCACAAGGACATTAAAGCATAACAAGCTATTGCATTTACACACATGATTTGCATTGCGTGCATTGTATATAAAACAATGTGTTGTGCAATATATTTTAGATAAATAATTATCAAAGGGACACACTCGTGGCATTAAAGTTTTGATGAGCGTTTTGTCCTTCCGCATAGAAGTGTCCAAGACATGGTAACAGCAAACTACAAAACTGGTCAACGTTTCAGTATCCTTGTGGTATATCTTGGTCCTGAGGAAAGTCCCACAGGGGAACTGAAACGTTTACCACGTTTTGTTGTTTGTTGTAAGCTGTTATGGAGCCTTGGAAACTTCTATGCTGAAGGAATAAAAGTTCAATGAATAGTGAAAGGATGTCTTTACTACTTTTACTACTCTCCTTTGTTGCTCTTACTTTGTGCAGAAGGAATTAAGTATTTAAACTTGTCCTAATGTGTTTTATACCCCACCTCCTATAGACTGTAAGCTTGTTTGAGCAGGGTCCTCTTCTACCTATCGTTCCTGTAAGTTTTCTTGTAATTGTCCTATTTATAGTTAAATCCCCCCCTCTCATAATATTGTAAAGCGCTGCAGAATCTGTTGGCGCTATATAAATGGCAATAATAATAATAATGTTGGATGTGGGTGATCCAACCTTTTGTGGCCTGGCTGACAATCAGGGGAGGGCTGGCAGCCTTGGGCCTGGGGGGCAAAACCAGTCAAGTGGCCCATTGCACCACCAATCAGTTCACCATCCGTGCCCACCTTTTCCTGGTTTTATAACGGATATTGATGTTATGCTAATCAGTAGCTCTTTGCCATACCCGCTCCTTCACGGCTCCAGGCACTGCTTGTTGTGAGTGTGAGCCACTGTAAATTAGGGGCAGAGGGCACTTGCACTGCGGTAAAGACGGGGCTGGGCAGGAGGAGATTGCAGTGCAATCAGTGCACTCCCCTCCTGGTGCACCTGCCCAGGATCAGAGCCGGTGCAAGGATTTTTGCCGCCCTAGACAAAATAAAAATTTGCTGCCCTCCCATGTGACATCACAATGCCCCACCCATATGATCTGCCATATGAACTAACGCCAGTGCTGCACACAGTGTGTGTTTACATTAAAAAGCCTGCAGGGACCAGCTATAGATACCAGAACCACTTCATTAGGCTATAGTGTCCCTTTAATGTGAGGTAAATTATAGATTAGTGTCACTAATAATATACTAGATTGCCTACTTACAAGCAGATGATGATGATGATGGGCTGCAGTTTGGCTCCACTGGTCTGGTGTAGAACAGGATCTCTGGAGGCTGTTTGCAACTGTGGTCACAAAATTCAATGTTCTGGGAGAATTGGAAGCAGCTCCATTTTTTTGGGGCCCCTTACACAGCTTCGGCGTCTGGGCCCCAGGGCCTGACGGTGAGTATGCCCATAAGGCCCACTTCATAAGTTCCACCCACCCATGAGTTCGCTTTCACAGGGAGTGGAGGTGTAGGGATGTGTTATGTGTTATTGTAGAGGATCTAATGTGCTTATGGTATGTAGTGTATAGGGGTTACCAGTTTGTGCAGGTGATGCAGTGTGTTTGTGTCTAGTGGAAGCAGTGTGTATTTGTGTATAAGGGATGTATTATGTGTTTCTGGTTGTGTGTAAGGGATGCATGTGTGAATCTGTGCTTGTATGCATAAGGGGATGCAAGGTGTGTGTCTGTATGTGTGTGCATGAGATGCATTGTGTTTGTCTGTATGTAAGAAAAGAAGTGTGTGTGTTTGCATGTGTGTGTACGGGTTTGCATTGTCTGTTTCTGTGTATGTGTGCAAAGGATGCATTGTCTTTGTGTGTAAGGGTTGTATTGTGTGTGTGTGTGTAATGGATGCATTGTGTGTTTCTCTGTGTGTAAGGGAAGCATGTTGTGTTTCTGTGTATGTATAGGGATGCATTGTGTGTGTGTGCACGCGCGTAGTGTGAAAGAGCTCTCTGTCTTGGCCCCTGTCCTATAGATATAGGCGCAAGACGGGTACTTATGGTTTGGAGTCCTGCAGGGACAGCGTTTCTGCATCTTTTGAGCAGGAACGCTGTTCCTGCAGGCACTTCAAAAGTCTTTGTTTTACCTTCTGCCCCTGCTCAAGTGGGGGGGCAGGTGATGTGATTGCCTCTTCTGCAGCTCTTCAGCTGGGCGTAGGAGTTGTTCGGATGTGCTTTCAGCCCCTTCGCCATGTTGATGCCGGAGCCGGAATACACGCCAGCACTCCGCCCCAGCTGCCAGCAGACATGTCTTCCGCCAAGGGCGATAGGGGAGCAGAGAAGGTGACAGCACACAGCTCCTCGCCGCTGCTGAGCTGCAGAGAGGCGCCCGCCACTGGACCCTCAGGGAAAAGTCCACGCCAGCAGTACAGGTAGGAGGCTGGGTGGGACATTTTTTTTAAATTAAAATATGGGCTAATTTGTTCTGTGTGTGTCTGTGAGTGAGTGTGTGTGTCTGTGTGTGAGTGTGTGTGTGTGTGTGTGTGTGAGTGTGTCTGTGAGTGTGTCTGTGAGTGTCTGTGTGTGTCTGAGTGTGTGTCTGTGAGTGTATGTGTGTGTCTGTGTGAGTGTGTGTCTGTGTGTGTGTGTGTGTCTGTGTGAGTGTGTGTCTGTGTGTGTGTGTGTGTCTGTGTGAATGTGTCTGAGTGTGTGTGTGTCTGTGAGTGTGTGTCTGAATGAGTCTGTGAGTGTGTGTGTGTGTGTACACATATACATATATATTTATATATATATTTACACACACACACACGCAGAGCCGGCGCTATCTGAGTGCCGGCTCTGCTTTAAGCCTCCATGGGCCGGCGGGGAGACCAAAGATCTACCTCACTGGCCCACAACAGCATGGAGGGAGGCAGGATAGGACCCAGGGAGCTCTAGACTGAAGCTCCGCCAGGTTCCTCTCGCGATATCTGAGTGTTGATGCAGCAACGCTCAGATCTCGCGAGAGTTAACTCTAGCCCCACAGGCTAGAGTTCACTCTCCACTGGACCACCAGGGATGGCACATGGCAGCAAGGATTTACTAATCTGCCAAATCCCAAACATACAGCACACACACATACAGCACCTACACACATACAGCTCACACACACACAGTACACTAACCGCACCCTCACAAACACACACACACAAACAGCCCCCTCACAAATACACGACACTCACACAAACAGCACCCTCACAGGACAAACATACACACACAAACACCCTCACACACAAACAGCACAGTCACAAACACAAACAAACACCCTCACATCACACTAACAGCACCCTCACACACACATCACACAGCACACTAACAGCACACACAGCAGTGCATGTGTGTGTGTGTGTGTATCTATCTATCTATCTATATATATATATATATATATATATATATATATAGATACATACACACACACACACGCGGCGTGTGTTTGTGCTTTAGGGTGCACACCCTAATGCAATAGGCTGCACACGCCTATGCCTATAGAGCTGCCCCTTCTGTCCCGTAGAGCTCTCCCCTGCCTCTTAGTGGTCTATCCTCTCCCCCACCCTCCACTAGCGGTCTCTTCTCACACTCACCCACCCTCCCTGTGCTCTTCTCATCCCCCCCTCCACCCTCCCTGTGTTCTTCTCACTCCTCTCTCTATGTGTTCTCCTCACCCCCCCTGTGTTCGTCTTACCCCCCTCCTCCCTGTGTTCTTCTTACTTCCCCCCTTGGTCGTCTTACTCCCCCACCTGTTCTTCTTACTCTCCCACCTGTTCTTCTTACCCCCCTTCTTCTTATTGCTCCCCCTTCTTCTTCTTAACCCTCCTACTTCTTCTTACTCCCCCTTCTTCTTACACTTCCCCCTCTTCTTACACCCCCTTCTTCTTGCTCCCCCCTCTTCTTCTTCTTACTCCCCTCTTCTTCTTCTTACTCCCCTCTTTCTTACTCCCCCATCTTCTTACTCCCATCTTTCTTACTCCCCCTTCTTCTTCTTACCCCCTCTTTTTCTTATCTCCCCTCCTTCTTACTCCCCTTTCTTCTTCTTACCCCCTCTTCTTCTTTTTACACCCCCTTCTTCTTTTCTTACTCTTTTCCTCTTTTCTTCTACTTCCCTATCTTTTTTTTCTTACTTCAATTTCTTCTTCTTTTCTTACTCTTTTTCTTATTCCCTCCTTCTTACTTCCTCTTCTTAATCCTCCTCTTCTAATCCTATCTTCCCTTCTTCTTCTTTTCCTCTTTCTATTCCTCTCCTATCTTCTTATTCCCTCTTTTTCTTATTCCCTTCCCCCCCCTCCCTCTCTTCTTACCCCCTCCCCTGGGGAAACTCAGCGCGAAACAGGAGTTTCTGTTTCCTGTAACTCAGTGTGCACCTTCCTATCACTCCGGCCGGCCACCGCGGACCGGAGTGCAGCTCGGCCACGCTACAGGGGAGGGGAGAAGCTGCAGCCGCCTGAGGCTCTTAACAGAGCGCTCAGGCGGCTGCAGTATTTAAAGGGCCGGCCCGCCCTTGCTGACAATGAAACTAGTTAAGGTAAAGCAGAACTTGCACACTGTGCAAATTCTCTTGCTGCTCTTGTTTGTCTAACACTGTTATATGTCTACTTTTTTGTACACATTATTATTATTATTATTATTGCCATTTATATAGCGCGAACAGATTCCACAGCGCTTTACAATATTAGGTATTCAACTATAAATAGGACAATTACAAGAAAACTTACAGGAACGATAGGTTGAAGAGGACCCTGCTCAAACGAGCTTACAGTCTATAGGAGGTGGAGTGTAAAACACACTAGGCCAGGAAATAGCAATCAAATAAGTTGGGAGTGAAGCAGAGCTGGAGGAGAGAGTAGCTTGCTGCCGTTTATGAGAGAGCAAAAGACAGGTATGTAAGGCTGAAGTTAGTCTGGGAGCTTTCCTAAAGAGATGGCTTTTAAGGCACTTCTTAAACGATTGAAGACTAAGGGAGAGTCTGATGGCGGTAGGCAGGCTATCCCATAGGAAGGGAGCTGCCCGCGAGAAGTCCTGCAAGCGTGAGTTGGCCATACAGGTGCGAGTAACGGACAGGACAAGGTCACGGGCAGAGCAGAGAGACCGAGAAGGGGCATACCTATGATACAATCACCTCTGTTTCCTGTCATATTGGGTCCAAAATCATTAAGCATCCATTACCCAATGGTCTTTTTTTCTAATCAACTATTTTAAATATTGTAAAAATACATGTTTCTTTCATTCTCCTCCTCTACAATTCACTGAAGAAAACAACATTCCTGATTGTTATAAGGAATTCAAAGATGTTTTAGTTAAAAAGAGGCTGAAAGGCGCTGGTCCCGCACACTTCTGGTGACACACGGGGATACTACGTACCCTATCGAGGATCTACAAGACGCAGCTGTACTCCTGAGAGATTTGGTCCAACCACAGGACTATTTACTAAAGTCCCAACCGCAAGCTGCAAATAGGACCCCGCACAACTGGGACCCATCCAAGATCACTTTGTTCACCCCACGATGACCCACAACAGAACCGTATGCAACTGCCAGCACGTGAAGCCCTGTGAGGTTCTATGAACCGAACTGGCTGTGATTAGGACCATTTCCCTATTACCACTGATTAAGTTTTATGTTCCTCGTTTTCCTTTCTTTGTTCTTTCTGTAGCACATCACACTGGCCAACGTATGCCTACCACCAGATATAGCTCCCGCACTGTGGTAGCCCCCCTCACTCCCTATACACGTAAAGCGCACTCTGAACTTGATAAGCCCATTGAGAGCTGGTCCACCGGCCATCGCCCATTTACCCACCTAAGCTACCGGCAGACTTAATAAAGTTCCCATCCCCACAGGGCCAGCAGACACAACACTCTGTATTGAACAGCTACCTCAGCAACTTACACACACCCCCTACATGTGCCAACCTGATAAATGTTTTACAGTTTTTTTTAATAACCATGTGATCATTTCCCAGCACGGGTAGACGGGTACCCACACCACCACAGACAGACTTAGTTAGATGAAGCGTCCTACACCAGAGTTCTCACCAGCCTAGGTGGTCCAGACACTGCAGGGGAGTGCCTACTGCTTGGCAATGCTTATGGGCCTGCCATAACGGTTGGCTATCATACCAATCTGCACACCTAACCAACACTTAGACGATGCCTATAGGAGATGCCCAGTGTTGAGTTCTTTAGACCGACTGACCCTTGCCAGCGGCCCCTGGCTCGAACCAGCAGTGGCTGCAACAACCCAATATTAATACTTACCTTGCTACACAGAGAGTGAGTAATCTTCCTACCTAACATTAGATCTCTCTTGGTCCGCAGTTCTCACACTCAAAGTCTACGCTACATAATACATGTAACTGTTAACCCATGATTTAACTAACAAGTATTAAACATGAGACTCACCTACTTCAACAATCACCCTTGAACTCACTACCTTGACTCAGCTATTCTTTATCTATCACCAAAAATGTGCCTGATTTTCAAATGTCACAATTGGCTATGCACACTGTACTCCTCTGTACTGTTGTGGCGTACTGAGGCTGTTTGATCATTTGATGCACAACAAAAATATATTTTTATTTTTTTTAAAGAGGCTGAAAGTCTTCCTCCCCATAGGATATGACTGTTCTATTGATCTTCTGGTGCTTCTATTCCATTTGGACACATATATCCCTTATCCGAAAATGAACTAAAAAAATTAAAAGAATATCTTGAAGAAAACCTACGTAAAGGATTCATTAGACCGTCTACCTCTCCTGCTGCTTCAGGAATGTTTTTTTGTAAGAAACAAGACAATACGCCCTATCATTGATTATCGTGATGAAATAAAAAGAATTCTAAAAAAACATTGCCCTCTACCATTGATTTCCGAGTTGATTGAAAGGTTAAGAACCGCCACTGTGTATATACGAAGCTTGATCTCAGAGGTGCTTACAATTTGATCTGTATAAAACAAGGCGATGAATGGAAGACAGCTTTTCATACTAGATATTGGTTGTATGAATATCTTGTCATGCCTTTTGGGCTTTGCAACACCTCAGGTACTTTTCAGCATTTCATAAATTATATATTCAGAGATCTTTTCGACATCTGTGTAATTATTTATATTGACAATATACTGACTTTCTCTGACAACCTTCAAGACCTTGGAAAAACACGTAAGATGGGTATTATCCCGATTAAGAACCCATAACCTTTACGCCAAGCCCGAAAAATGTTTCTTCGAAGTTTCTGAGTTTACTTTTTTAGGGTATGTTTTTACTCCTCATCAGATACAGATGGATGATTCAAAGATTCAGTGCATACTAAACTGGTCTGTTCCTACATCCTTGAAAGAGTTACAGAGTTTTCTTGGATTCTTAAACTTCTACAGGAAATTTCTAAAGAACCTTTCTGCCATTGTTAGACCTCTAAATCTTCTAAACCAGGGCTTCCCAAACATTTACGGGCCGAGACCCACTTTTGAAAATGATAATTTTTTGAGACCCACTCGCTTTTAATGCATATTTTAAAAATGAATAAACTTGGCACACCATGGCAGCTTTAGAGGCAAAACATTGGTTCAACATAGCAATTGGCTTTACAGGCATACATTGACACCATGGCAATCCATTTTAGAGGCATACAACTTGCACACCATGAAAATCAGCTTTAGAGGCATAAAATTGGCACACTATGGCAATCATTTTAGATGCATAAAATTGCAAAATCCTGTCAACTTTAGATGCATAAAATTGGCCCACCGTGGCAAGCAGTTCTAGAGGCATACAATTGGCACACCCTGGCATTCAGCTTTAGAAGCATGCAATTGGCACACCATGGCAATCAGCTTTAGATGCATAAAATTCACACACCATGGCAGCTTTAAATACTTAAAATTGTCACACAATGGCTATCGGTTTTAGAGGCATAAAATTGGCACATCAAGGCAATCAGTTTTAGATGCCTAAACTTCGAACTTTATGGCAACCACTTTTAGATGCATAAAAGAGGCATATCATGGAAGATTTAGAGGCATAATTATGGTATATCGTGGCAGTTTTAGAGGTAGAAACTTAGCACATCATGGCAGTTTTAGAGGCATAATTCTGGGATCTCATGGTAGTTTTAGAGGCATAATTTTGGCATGTCATTGCAGTTTAGAGGCACATCATGGCAATCCATTTTATAGGCATACAACTAGTTACTCACAGACTCAGAAGTGCTGTGTCCTTCTCTTTCTCACATTGAATGAATCCCAGTGGTAGATCCTCATCTGTCAGAAACCTCCAACAATGCTATGTCAGCTGGGGATCTACCATTTGTCCACCGTTGCAGGGTTGTATTTGTGAGCAGTGTTTGAGCATTTGAATGTAAGCATGTTTTTATGAAGTGTATGTGTGGATGTATGGGTGTATTTTTGTGTATTGTTGCCATTAGAATGTAGTGGTGTACTTGTGTGT